CCCCGCGGCTCCAGCCCTCGAACACCACCTTGCCGTGCTGGTAGCCCACATCCTGCAGGGTCACCAAAAACACCGAAAATAACCCAAAAACACTAAAAATGACCCCAAAAACACCAACCATGACCCCAAAAACCCAACCATGACCCCAAAAAAACCAACAATGACCCAAAAACACCAAAAATGACCCAAAAACACCCAATGATGACCCAAAACCCCCCAACGATGACCAAGAACCCAAACAATGACCCAAGAACCCCAACCATGACCCAAAACCCCCCAACCATGACCCAAGAACACCAACCGTGACCCAAAAACCCCAAAAACGACCCAAAAAACCCAACAATGAACCCAACAATGACCTGAGAACCTCAACAATGACCCAAAAACACCAACAATGACCCAAAAAACCCAACAATGAACCCCAACGATGACCCAAGAACCCCAACAATGACCCAGGAACACCGACCCCCACCTCGGAGCCCCCCGGCCCGTCCCACCGGCCCCGACTCACGTAGATCTCGTCGAACTTGCCGAAGTCCATGGTCTTGAAGCGGTCGATGGGTGGCCGGATGTACTCGCAGTAGGAGCTGGACTTGACCACCTCGAGCTGCCGCACGCAGGACACGTAGGCCAGGCGCGACTGGATCTCCGCCATGTCCGGCACCTGTCGGGACTGGACACTCAGGATGCGTCCGGCACCTCCTCATCATTGGTTTCGTGGTCATCATCATCGTCATTGTCATGGTCATCGTCATCATCATCATCATGGTCATGGTCATGATTGTCATGGTCATCATCATCATCATCGTCTTCGTCATTGTCATGGTCATGGTCATCATCATCATCATGGTCATCATCATCATCACTGTCGTCTTCGTCATTGTCATGGTCATTGTCATCATGGTCATCATCATCATCATGGTCATTATCATCATCATTGTTGTCTTCGTCATTGTCATGGTCATTGTCATCATGGTCTTCATCATCATCATGGTCATGGTCATCATCATGGTCATGGTCATCATCATCATCCTCATCATCCTTGTCATGGTCATGGTCATCATCGTCATGGTCATGGTCATCATCCTTGTCATTGTCATGGTCATTGTCATCATCGTCATGGTCACGATCATGATCATCATCATGGTTATGGTCATCATTCTCATCATTCTCATTGTCATGGTCATCGTCATCATCATCCTCATCATCGTCACAGTCATCATCATCATCATCGTTATTGTCATCATCATTGTTTTATCATCATCATCATCACCATCATCATTACCTTCACCATCATCCCCATCACCATCCCTTGATGTCCTCCAGGACCATCTCCATCCTTCTCCAGCCCTTTCTACACCAGCCCTCGTCCCCCGTGGCCCTGGTGCCACCTTGACCTTCTCCCCCTGTGGTCTCACCTCGATCTCCTCACCCCTCGGTCTCACCTGGACCTTCTCCCCCTGTGGTCTCACCTTGACCTTCTCGGCCCAGGGGTTGAGGCGCTTCCAGAGGAGCCACCAGCCGGACAAGGAGTCTCCGTAGTTGCACAGGTCGGTCTCGTCCTGGCTGCCCACGTCGATGGCGATGACCGTCTTGGCGCCCATGTTGCGCGCGATGTCGGCTGCGGGGACGGACGGACACGGGGACGGCGGGCGGTCAGCGGGGACGGACGGACACGGGGACTGAGCCAGGGTGGGGGTGTCCTCCAGGAGGGGTCAGCGGGGGTGGACGGGGGGACACGGCTGGGGACACCCCCAGGGGCTGGAGGAGGATGGAGATGGGCCTGGGGGACACCAAGGGGTGATGAAGGTGATGAAATGGATGAAGATGTTCCTGGTGGACATCAAGGGAGGAGGAGGAGGATGATGATGATGGTGGTGAAGGCCATTTGCACAGGGAAGAGGATGGAGATGTTCCTTATGGATACCAAGGGAGAGTGAGGATGATGATGATGATCCTTTTGATGATCATCATGATGATGATGATGATGATGAAGGTCATTTCCACAGGGAAGAGGATGAAGGTGGTCCTGGTGGACACCAAGGGATGACGATGATGATATGGATGAAGATGTTCCTGGTGGACATCAAGGGAGGAGGAGGAGGATGATGATGATGAAGGCCATTTGCAGAGGGAAGTGGACGGAGATGGTCAGTGAGGACACCAAGGGATGATGGTGGTGATGATGAAGGAAGAGGATGAAGATGTTCCTGGTGGACACCAAGGGATGATGATGACAATGATGATGATGATGATGACAATGATGACGATGATGATGAAGGTCATTTCCACAGGGAAGAGGATGAAGGTGGTCCTGGTGGACACCAAGGGATGATGATGATGATGATGATGATGATGATGAAGGTCCTTTACACAGGGAAGAGGATGAAGAGGAGGAGCCTGCAGAGGACATCAGGAGATGAAGGGAGGTGCCGGGAGAACAGAGAGGACACCTGGAGATGGGAACGCCCAGAGATGGACAGTGACGGCTGAAGGTGGCCCAGGAGGTCACCGAGGACACCCAGGGATGGCGCAGGACGGAGACCGAGGCAGGGGAAGGATGGAAATCACCAGGGAAAGCACCCGGGACCAGCAGCAGGTGACACCAGGAGGGGACACCAGGAGGGGACACCATGAGGTGACACCAGAAAGTGACACCAGATAACACCATGAGGTGACACCAGATAACACCATGAGGTGACACCAGATAACACCAGGGGGTGACACCATGAGGTGACACCAGAAAGTGACACCAGATAACACCATGAGGTGACACCATGAGGTGACACCAGGAGGTGACACCAGGAGGTGACACCAGGAGGTGACAGAAGGTGAAGATGCCCCAAGGGGGGGTGACCAGCACCGAGGATATCAAAAGATGACACAAGAGGGATGAAAGATGGACCCTGCACGTGGAAAAACGTGGAATTTCCTGGAAAAACCACCCGACATGGAAAAAACAGCAGGAGATGGCCCACGATTGGTGGATCCTGACCATGAAAATCCATGGAATGTTCTGGAAAACTTCCTGGCATGGAGAAACCACCAAGAGATGATGGAAGGTGGATGGATCCTGACCATGAGAAGCCATGGAATGTTCTGGAAAAAGTGCTTGGCATGGAAAAGGCATCAAGAGATGATCCATGATGGACACAAGATGGATGGATCTGACCATGAGAAGCCATGGAATGTTCTGGAAAACCGCTTGGTATGGAAAAGGCATCAAGAGAGGTTCCATGGTGGACACAAGATGGATGGATCTGACCATGAGAATCCATAGAATGTTCTGGAAAACTTCCTGGCATGGAGAAGCCACCAAGAGATGATGGAAGGTGGATGGATCCTGACCATGAAAATCCATGGAATGTTCTGGAAAACCTCCTGGCATGGGGAAACCTCAAGATGATGGAAGGTGGATGGATCCTGACCACAAAAAACCACGGAACGTTCCGGAAACCCACCTGCCACGGGAAAACCCACCAGGACGGATGGATCCCGAGCAGGAAAAACCGCGGAACGTTCCGGAAAAACCACCCAACAACCATTAAAAAAAACCAGCGGGCGGACAACAAGAGCCCAGCGAGCGAGCGACG